CTCACGCCCCCGGACACACACCCCGGCCCATCGACCAACACAGGCGCCCCCGCGCAAACACGCAGACCCCTGCACCAGCAGACCCACGTGTGCAGCACGCACGCAAGACCCACAGAACCCTGCACAGACGGGCGCAGGCACATACACAGCCGCACAGGCACTCGCACAGACGTGCCCCTGCGCCAACAAGTTAGAGAACCCACAGTAGGGAAGGAGGCCGCCCTGGCAAGGCCCCGGGGCTCTGCAGAGGCAGCCCAATGGGGTGGAGCTCTGCCAGGTTTGGGAAGAGTAGGGAAGGTGGGGGCGGACTTTGAGGCCACATCACCATTATAGTGGAATTCCTGGGGGTGATGACATCAGCCTCCAAGCCCAGTGTCCTGGTCCCAGCACTAGCATGCCCTCCAGCGGACCAGGGCTGGTACCCAGAGGGAGCCTGGGAGAGGGGGGCCACTGCACCCCAACAGCAGATAGGAGGGACCCACAGCTAGCAGGGACAGCTAGCCCCAGGTGTCAGGCTGCCTCGGGACAAACATCCGACCGCAGACCCCGTGTTTGTCATGGGCACAGCCTGAGGTTCCAGATGTGTCTGAAGCAGCCTCCCCAGGGGTGGTGAGGCCACAGTGGCTGTGCCTCCAAGGGGACCTGTGCGTTCAGACCTGGCGAGAACTTGGCCCCAGCTCTCATCGCATGCAGCTGACCCCCAGATGTCTTACCCATGGCACCCCACCTAACCTGGCCCTGCCCTCCACCTCCCCGGAAACTGCTGGGGCAAAGGCTCTGCGGGCTGTCACTCTGCCCAGCCCACCCGTAGGCAGGGTTCCAGGAGGCGACCTCAAGCTCGTGGGAGAGATACAGTCTCACCTTGCTCAGTGCTGTCTGCAGTCCACACACCAGCTCACCCCATTGGCCCCCACCTGCCAGGCACCTGGCAGTGCAGAAACAGGCCAGCCCGCCTCTCTGCCCAGGTCTCCAGGGGGAGCCTCTCTCCTGTCCTTCCTCTGGGCGTCACAGCAGCCCTCGGACTCCAGGGGAGCCTCCCTTAATCTCCCAGATAGACGCACTGCTGGGCTGTTGGAAGGGTGACCTCCACATGGGTCAGCACTGTTTATCACCCCAACGCGCATCTCATTTGCCAATAGCTCACTGCTAACAGAAGCCTGCGGGTCCCCTCCCGGGCAGCCACCAGCCAGGCTGCAGGGGGCAAGGGCAGGTGGAGATAAGCTGTCACTCAGGAAAGTGCAAAGGGACACCTGAGGGAAATTGTGACTCAAGATCACCCTCCCCAACGGACAGCAGAGCCTGGGCTTCCTCTGTCGGTGCCCCTCGCTGAGGCGGCCCCTCAAGGTGTCGCTCCCGCTGCTCACGCAGCCTCCACCCTGACATCCTGTAGGACCGGAGCATCTGCGGAAGCGGGGGCCTCACCCCGCCTCGTCTCCCCCATTGTCCTCCAAGTCTCGTCAGCCCTGGGAAAGGGCTCCCGGCCTGGCCTGTGTCACAGGGAAGGGGGCAGAGCCCCAGAGCCCCTTGGCAAGGTCCCCGGCAGGGAAAGGCAGGTGCCGGGAGTCTGGCCCTGGGCTAACCCATGGCCACTGAGCGCTTGAAGTGCGGCTTGTCCTAAATCCGGGGGCGGAGGGGCTCGTACAGTCTTCTTGGTACGAATAAGAAAAGGAGAACTGCCCCCTTGACGGCTTTCCTGTGGACCGCGTGCTGGGATAACTGCATCTGGGCACACCACATTCAATAAAACCCAGCACTGAAATGGATCACGCCGATTTCCTTTTGCTTTTTTGGTGCGACTTCGAGAAAATGTGAGACTCCATGTATGGTTCTCGTGTGCGGCTCACATTCTGTTTCTGTGGGACAGCACGGGTCTTCCCCAAGCCCAGCCCTGGCTCTGCTAGTATGGCGCAGTGCTGTGTGGCCTCAAGGGAGCCCGGAACCTCTCTGTGCCCATGTCCGTAACACACGGAGATCAGCACAGTGGGGACTGAGAGGTCGAGGAAAGTGCTTCACTGGGAGTCACTGAGAGTCAGTGTCCAGGTCTGTATGCCTGACCCCTGCCAGGCCCTACACTCAGGCAGACACCCCGGGCCGAGGAGCAGAGTGTCGGAGGGCCGGTGTGCTGGGAACTGCCCATTTCCCTGCTCCGTGGTAGATGCAGCCGTGCTCCCAAAGCATCCCAGAGGCCATCCAGGCCAGCCTGGGAAGGGTTGAGGGACCCAAGGACTGCCCCGCTTCCACGGGAGCCAGCGCCCCAGTACCGCAGTGCCCACGAGCTGGCCGGGGACCGCTCCTATGGCCTCTCATCCCACCCTGGGATGCCACTACCCTTACATCAACCAGGACTCCCAACTCACTGAGCAGGGGTCATTCATTCACTCCCACGGCCTCTGGGGCAGGACTGGGGTTGCTTCGGGCCATGTCTCCAGCGCCCAGCAGGGGGCAGCATCTGGGGTGAGCCCAGCACAATCTGGGGGCAGCTGACGTGGGTCCCAGCCCACTGAAGAGCTGGACGGCACAGACAAGTCCCACGACCCCGCTGGGCCCCAGTTTCTTCATCTGTACAGCAGGTAGGGATCTGGATTCAACCAGCTCAGGGGCCTATGGTCCCACAGCTATGGGGTACATGTGACTTTGGAAGGCAAAATGGGGCCAGGAAGGAGGAGATCGGCCAATAACGAAGCCAGCCGAGTGTCCAGGGGCAGCTCCTGAAGCACAAGGCTTCCCGAGTGCCGAGCGCCTGCAAGTCTGGGCGAAGGACCCGCGGCGTTTCTGCCCTGGAGGCTCAGACGTGCCCCGCACGCCACCCCCAGCATCCTTCACCACACACGGACAGCCCCTCCTGCCTCCTTCCTCCCCTCCCGCCCCGCACTTCCCATCCACCTGTCCTCTCCACCCCTCCCAGACAGGTTTGCAATTAAATCCTCACTCTGCTACCAGCTGGGTGCCTGCCTCAGGGGCCCAGACACCCTCTTTTCTACTGTCCTTTTCCAGAGGAGAAATGACCTCCCAAGGTCACGCGGGACAGAGGTGGGCTGCCGATGGGGGCGGGTCTGGCTTGGACCCACGCCCTGTCCTCACCGGGCACCCTCATCCAGGCTCCTGGAGCCGGGGCCTCAGCGGGTGCCCGGCGGCTGGCTCCCCTTCGGGGGCACCCGTGGGTTCTCAGTGATGGGGGCAGAGGCCCAGGAGGAGGAGGAAGGGTGCCTGAGCTGGGGCCACCACAGGGTCTTCCGCTGCCCCTCGCCACAGGGATCCCAGACTGTCAGCCGGAACCTAGCCCTGGGCTCCTCCGGGCGGGGCCACCAAAGGGCCCTCAGCACCCATGCCGGACCCTAGGCAGAGCGTTCCTAGAACTGGCCCCAGATCCTGGCTCTTCCATCCCTCTCTGGGTGGCCTTGCCCTCCCAGAGCCCCCGCTCCTGCAGCAGCCGAGAAGCCCACCTTCCCTCCCTCCCGCCTGGTGAACAGTGAGCCGCTATGCATCCATTGAGTGCCAACTCAGAGGCCCCTTCTCTGCAAAACCTCCCCAGCTGGCTCACCCCAGAGCCAGTCTCTGCCGCCTCTGTGATCCCCCTGCGGCCAGCCCGTCCCTCCTCCACATTTAAGCACTCACTCACACACTCACTCCTTTCCCGCAGCTGTGACCTGTGTGCCCACTCTGGGCAGGACACGGTTCTGGGATGCAGTGATGTCTCCCCACCCAGCTGAGGGTTATGATCAGGTCCCCAGAGCCCAGGACAACCTGTGGTATAGATGAGCTCGAGCAGCGCCTCCCTGAAGGACTGGAGGCATGGCGGGGGCAATGGCTCTGGGCCTCCGTCCCCACCAGGCTGGGCGTGGGGACTTGGGCACAGCATGAGTGGCAGCGGCCACCAAGCTCGGAATGCCACCAGCAGCTCAGACAGAGCCCTCTGCCCTCCTCGGTGCCACCAAGCAGATCCAGGCCTGCGGCTGTGGTCTGGAAGCTCTTTGGGAAATGCTTTCTCGATGCGGAAACTCGGGCTGGGTGCCTCTGCCCCGTGGAATGTCTGTGTGTCAGCAGAAGGAGCCGCTCCCCTCCACCCGCCAGGCCGGCTCCAGCTTTCCTCTCCAAGCTGGGCGGCCACCAAGCTCTTCTGCCAGGACCCAGGCTGGGGTGAGGGCCCAACGCTGACCCCCAACGGCCACGGACCCCTCAGGGCTGGGCCCACCCCACCACAGACCCCGGACACTGGGGGTTCAGGGAGCAGAACTGCCCTGTTCCTGGGGCTGGCAGGAAGCAGAGCAGGGCTGAGCCTCCTCCCAGCACATGTGGTATCCATCCCTTGTGCTCACAGACACTTCGTCCGTGAAGCCTCTCGAGGGCCCGCACGCCCTGCCTC